GTAGTATGCATTTATTTTTGAGGTGGTTCCTGTCATTTAAATGAGAAGAAAAAAATGTGGACATAACATGTCCACAATTTGGACAATTTTGGACATATTCATTGTTGACATTAAATCATGTGGACTTAATAAAGACTGGACTTAACGTTTAAAGGACATAAATAGCGGCATAATAGCGGACATTTATTGAATGGACGAAAGGTAGGTGGACATAAAGTCCTGTAAGCATTTTTTCGATAGGTATGTGGTTTATGGAAAAAGACATACTTCCAAAAGTTTTTGAATTTATATTTTGTACATACATAATTACACCGAAACGATAGAAGTTATAGATCATTTTCCATACTTCGAATTTCGAATTTTGCGGAGATATTGACGCCGCATCGTACCCACCTACGTTTGGGTGTAAACAATTCGGAAACGGTCACCACCCCCTTTTTTCTCTGTAAATTTCAAGAGCCCTCTCCGGGGGTTTTTTTTTCGCGAGAACGGAACTTCAAATTCGTCCGCACTTGCGGAGATCTCCCGAATGCGAGGAGGTACTTCAGTGTCGTAATTAGTGTCAAAACGGCGGTGATCCGTCATAATTGCGTTATTAGTTGCGCAGTCGGATTAAGCAGTCGGCGAGGTATTTTATTTCGCTCTAATTTGTCGTCGGAAAGAGCCGAAACAACGACGCGACACAGCGCACGCTGCGCGGACGTTATTAAATCGTTCACTAATGATTTCCCGAGCGGATCACACGATGATGACGACGCCGCACGGTCCCTGGAAATTGGATTAATTTTCAGCAGTGCTTAGCGATAAATCGATCGAGCTGCCATTTAAACCCATGGAATAAGATCGATTATTAGGGTATGCCTCAATAATCTATTCTTGACCATAGCTTGAAATGGAAAGATATCGATTGCCAATTGGACTACATTTTGGAATTTGGAACTATAAATTCAAGCCCGGTTTAAAAACAACGTATGTGCCATTAGTTTCCCTATGCACACAAGTGTTTTTCCAGAAAAGCCAGAATTTATAGTTCCAAATTGCAAAGTGCAGTCTAATTATTCACATTTCGCCATTCCGTGTCGTGCTTTGTGCTGAGTTGGTTGGTTTGCTGTTAAAACGTATCGAGAAAGATCGATTATCACGGTGTATACATTAAAAATCGATTCTCTACCATAGCTTAAAATAGGAGAATATCGAAAGTTGACGATTCAGGCCTCGCCACTATTTTGTAGGCCCATGAATCGGAGTAAAAATGTGCTCGTAAGTCAACAGATCTGAACCGAAGTTCAGTTTTGTCATTTCGAAGGCGATGGACGTGCACGAATGACAGATTCATAGGCTGGAAGAGAATCATTTTATATTTTGGAATTTTGCTTTCCCAAAAATTTTTAATCGCGTTTGGCTGGTTTCTCTTCCTAACATTACTCGAGGTTATTTACTTTTTCATTAATTTTTACATCAATTTTCGTGATGCTGTTGCGTTCAATTTTTTTTTTTTTTTTTTTTTTTTTTTTTTTTTTTTTAATTTGCTTATTTTCTGGTATCAAGATTTGGAAATCGGGCCAATCAAGTGCGCTTAGAACGCGATGCGCATACTTACCTCACGAATTCAGGCTCTTCCCACCACCCTTGCCTTCGAGGACAGTGGCGTGGCGTGCTTTGCGATATATCGATTGTTATGTCATTTAAACCTATGGTAAAGAATCGATTATTAAGGTGTTCGCTGCGAACACCCTATTTATCGATTCTTTTCCATAGGTTTAAATGGCATAGAAATCGATATATCGCAAAGCACGCCACGCCACTGCTCGAGGACTGGAATGTAAGGCTTCTTCTGGAGTACTAGTTTCTGATCTTGATGCGCCCTTTAGCCGTGTTATTTTTAATGAATTCAAAATTAGCTCTTCAATTAATTAGCAGTCTCCGTTAATTTATCCAACTTTATGTCATCCTTCATATTATCTGGTTTGAAAATTAGGGCATTGGTTACTGACGTCGCTTACTGATTACTGTGTCGTCACCAGTCATTAAAAAGTGTGGAAATAATGGGTTTTTCTTTTCTCTCGTCCTTTACTCTGTGCCCGCTACGAAGAATCAACGGGCAGACTCTTCAATTCGTCGCTTCTCTGACGTAAGAGCTTCGTGAGACCTGTTCTCCATATAATCCCATACTTTTCCGGGCTCACGTGGAATTTGAGACATGCCCCACGTCAGAGGAACGACGAATTAAAGTTAGGCATGCAGAATCTAGCCCAATCCTTCTTTTCTAGAAACGCAAAAATTCTTTTCGAAGGATGTTAGTAAATGGTACAGGGCACAATCACACCGGCAAACAGGTAGGCACATGCTAAGATGGTAATGGTCGGTCTGGACCAACAATGATCACGAGACGCCACTGGTTTTGTTCGGGATCGCGTTTCGACCGTCTCGTCGCGTCGCCAGGGTCATCTCCAAAGATTTTCCGCGAACGGCGACCTCTCCTCATAACCGCAAGCAAGGCATCCACGCCGAGCGGTCAATCTCTGCGCCGGGTGGAGTCACCCAGATACCGGAGCGGGCTCTCCAGTCGCGGTGTAGACTCTAATTTGGACATATTTCTGCCAAACGGAACTATGTGCATTACGACATGAGCCCTGAGACCCACAAGAATATATGCATAACAGGGCTCACGTCATAATGCACATAGTTCCGTTCGGTAGAAATACATCCATTTGAATGACAAAAGAGGCGGGATTACCGCGGACAATAAGGATCCAGCCCGAGATGTCAAACGTAGCCTGGAAGAGCGTGTCGTTGCCCCGGTTTGGGCACCCGGTTTTTGCCGGTCCGGCACCCGTGTTTTCCAGGAGTGAAGCAGTCACCACTTGTCTTGCCAGCGTAATTGAATTCGACTGGGAGTCGCTCTCGTTCGGAGAAACCTCGCCAGTGGTGCGGCTTGCTTTACGATGTATCGATTGATCTATCGTTTAAACCTATGGAAAAGGATCGATAAATAGGGTGTGCGCAACGAACGCCTTGATGAGCGATACTTTACTGTAGCTTCAAATGGAAGTATCGATAATCGATCATCCACGCTTCGCCACTGAACGTCACCGCTGTCAGCGATGCCCGATGCCGATGCACCCAGCGCAGCGCGGTCGGTGTCGCCTTTCGCACACCGGTGAACTTTCGGATTTTGAACGAAGGTGCTAGATGAGGATTTTCGTGTTGAATAGGATGCATTGTCGGAATCCGATACAGTGAATCCGTATATTCTCGTGAGATCGGGCCTAGTTTTTGGAGCTCACCAAACCAGTGGTTGGTGTTTATACCAGGGTCATCATTGAGGGTTCAACCAGTACTCCGCGAAATAGCAATATCAGGAGCTTAAGGCCGATTTCCGGGAGTGGATTTTGTCGACTTTCTTGACCCGATCAGCAGGATTGAAAACCAAACGAGAAAAACTCCGGGAGGTGGATCTACCTAGATGTGGTCGTCAATGCTGTCAGCTTGAAAACTAGATGTTGAACGAAAATGCTGTGTATAATACTTCAAAACAATTCTGTCGTGCTAAAGAAAAACGCCGTATGAACGTTCGAGAGTTGCCGAATTTCCTGCGATGAAACGTTCATTTTTAAGGAAATAGTTGAATATCTTTCCTCGAAATTTTCAGGAACTCTAAGTGGAATTGCGAACAAAATAATCTGAAAAATTAGAAGAAAAATATCCATAAGTTCATCAGGAAATTCGTTTATTATCAAAGGAAATTGGGCAACGCGTGAAGGTTCATATGACGTTTTTTCTTAGCACAGTAGAACAAGGGAGGAGTGGAAAGTTTGAAACTCCTCGATGGAGATGCGTGCTTTCGTAGTCTCATCGTCAATTTGCGGTTACCCGGCTCCGACGCCGCGCCGGCCGCAGTGTCTCCAGTCAGACCGAGAGCCAGCAATTCATTTGTTGCGACGTCGACGAGGACGAAGAAGAAGAAAGCGAGAAGAAGAAGAAGGAAGAAGTCGATTCATCTTTTGCCCGGGCGACCTTGCCTCGGCTCTAAAAAGTTCAAGTTTAGTTCTGGAAAGGGGCTTTTGTTACGTCTCGCGATGCCACCTGGAGCCACCGCCACCGCCGCCGCTCACCCCCTCCCCCCATCGAACCCCTACTCCGCCCAACCCCTTCACCCTCGCGGGTTTGTTGCGCCATTCCATTGTCGCGCGTGCCGCCGGGTTGCAAGCGCGGGAAAGTGCTCTTCGCGTGTGGCGTGTTTGCAGGGAGGCATTTTGTTTATATAGTTACAGATCGGATCGATTTCTTACTAACTTATGATATCTACAGGAAATTAGCCTAGAATTCGTGAGTTCTTTAATTAATTTTTCTTCCTTAGCCACGCAAGGGCGACAATTCGTCGTCTCCTTTATGAAAGAACGTAAGTTCGTTTCAATATTGCCAAATTCCCCATTTTAAATTGCATTATTACCACGAGAATTTTGGAAATTTCCAGCTGAAAATATTACTGATTTTTTTTCTAATCTCTTGTAAATATCAAAAAAATTCGGACACAATTTCATCGGTTCATTCTTGTAAAAAATTGAATTGTTTGGGTCAATCTTGCATCCTTGGAATGGAGTTACGTTTCTTTGTCCAGGAAACTGCGAATTACCTAGAGCAAGGGGGTCCATTGCGTCCCTCAATCTTATTACTACAGATTGTTTATTTTAAGGCAAACGCTGGACAGTTTTAAGAATGTTTCAGGATAATATGAAATTTTAACTCCAATCGGGGGAAAAAAACTTGTGTCTACTCGCCAAGTTTGGGCTGAAATGAAGCCTCTATGAGCGTTCTGGAAATATTAATTGCAGGAGGTTATTAACGGAAAATCCTTCATGCTTGTTGTCATACAAATATTTTACCCATTTTTCTATAGTTATCTTTGATTTTTGAGTCTGGAAAAACTCTCAAGTTTTTGTTGTTTATGTTAATAGGTATACCTCTCTAATAATGTTAATTTATTTTTTCTGTTACAGTTTGGTGAGTCATCAACCCTCCTTCCTACTTTAATTCCAAAAGTGAGTACTTACTTATTAGGACTTTTTCACACTGGAAAAAAAAACACATTGGATCTAGAGTCCAGGCTCTTGAAAACATTGACAAGAAAAATGAATCTTGATTCAATCAGATTTAAGCTTAAATCAAAAGGAAATCCGCTCAAATTAAGAGGCTTGGTTCTTGATGTAAGCTTACATCTGATTGAATGAAAAGTATTTTTTCTTGTCGATGTTTTTAAGAGTCTGGACTCTACATCAAATGTGTTTTTTTTTTCCAGTGCATGCTTTTTCACCCTCAAGGAAATTTTACTCGTTCCTTCTTCTTGTGGACACAATTTTTTAAAATAATACGGGTGCGACTCAAAATTAGTCTCACATCGAAATGTTGGCGGCACGCGGAACCATGAACACTTGATTCGTCTCAATGGAAGTTTTCCCCGAAAAAGTTACTTGCGACGTCCTTGGTCTCAAATTGCCTCACGAATAGGCTGCTCGTTCTGATTCTGATATTCGGTAGGATGAATTCCTAGAATTTCCCGTCGAATCGAGAGAGGAGCTTTAAGCACTCCTGACGGTCGCCAGCCGCGTCTTCGTCTTCGGTCGCGGACCTTGAATCGCGTTAACCGCAACGATTCATCAGGAGAAGAACCAGAGGCGCTGACCGTTGCCACTTCGACCTAAAATATCTTATGGACTTCGCTGCCGAGTTACCGAAGAAACAGTGGCGAGTTTCCAAGTTGACAACGCTGTTTTTCTTCCATTCAATGGTGGAATTTTAATCAATTATATAATTTTTAATCCAATTCCGCACGGTAGCGCTGCAAAGCTTAAAAAAGTTGCAAACCCAACCTCAAAATTCTGTTTCTTTCTGTTATTTTAGTGCTTTTACTTCAGTAGAGGAGCCTACAGCCATCCAGAGACATCTAGCATATTTTTTTAGGAGTAAGATTTATTAGGTGTAGAGTTAGGAATATTTGTGGTGGTTGTTTTGAAGAAAAAAAAGGGTAGGATCTAGAAGACCAACACCAAAAGATATCCAGAGACTCTTTAGGACGACTTTCTATACCATTGTTAGACTGGGTATTCTGAAAATTACAAAAACCGTTGTTTCCCCTGAAGGAACGTAACTGAATTCCGATGTTGCCAAATTTCCCTTTGCAAATTTTATTTTTATGTTCCAAGAGAATTTTGGGAATTAGTGACTAAAAATTTCACGGATTTTTCTTCTGATTTCATGCCAAAATCAGACAAATTTTGCACAGGTATATTCTTCTCAAAAACCGAATTTTTTGAGTCAATTTTGCAACCTTGGAATGGAGCTACGTTCCTTCGTCCGGGGAACGACGAAACGGCGAAAGTTTTTCTTCGTTCTATAAAATCGTCAGTTTGCGCATTGGCGGTATTGCTACGCAGCCATCGATCATAAATAATCGATCTCAGATTGATAAATATCGATTGTTTTACATGCCTTTAAACGGACTGAACCCAGCATTGCCAACTTGCAAGCTTCGCAAGCGACCAGTTACCCAGTCGATTTCAGTGAGAAGGAAACCCGGAGAGCGACCTGGCAGCCGAGCTGGGAACAGCAACAGCAGGAATGTCGACGCGTCGTCGCAATGACCCAATCCAGTTCCCGGGGGGGGGGGNTAGGAGGGGGGCTTGTATGTACTGCACCGCTAATAGTCGATTGAATCCGATCCGTTTGCTGGATGCTATTGCTATTGAGGTGGACCAATACCGATACCAAGACTTATCGTCGACGATGCGCATGCGTGTCCAATAATAGTCAGTAGCGTGGAAGTCTCTTTTCATTGAAATTGGAGTACCGTCGGTTATTGTAGAATATTTGAATTTATTTTGTTTAACTTCAGTCTCAAGTAGATTAATCTTTTTATTCGCTCGGGCTGTTTGAATCATTTCCGGCGACGTGAGTAGCTTGGAAGGCAGGGAAAATTCGCGAAGTCCGTCGATTTTTTGGAAAAATCAGGAAACGATTTAGGCATTCTTTGTAGGACGACTTAAAATCTCCGCAGCGCTGTTCAAATTGTACGACTGTGTGGCTAGTTGAGGCGTTGGGTTGGGTGCAGAAAATGTATTTATAGTTAGCGGTGTTTCAGAATCTCCAGGGCTAATTTATCCTTTAGAGTGGAAAATGTTGCGTTGCTTGCAACTTCGCGATTGTGCAGTCAGTTGATCTTCAAGCCACCAATGGAATTTTTTGGCTACTTCATTTTTGTCGCAATTAGAGCGATAATTTCGAAGTTTCGAAATTTTTCTAGTTTTGTCAAACGGAGTTACTTGTTCTTACTGAAAAAATACTGAATTTTTCAGTTGAGGAAATACTGAATTTCTTGGGAATGAACTGAAAAAGTATTGTATAAGTACGGATTTTTGGCCAGCCTGTCTTAGTTGACAACCTGCTTTGTCTATTGCTTTGTCTATCAATTTCAATAATCATCCCGCTGAGTGCGCTACGCAACACTCGAATGCCCTCAAGATCGCTGGAGTGTGTGTTTAAATTCTGGAGGATTAAGTTACTCAGGTTGAACATTTCCGATTCGGGCGAACGATCCGGAAACTGGAGGCGAGGCGAGCGGCGCACAGTGGATCGAGTCAATGGGAGAGATCGGACAAGATTTTTTCGACTAAAACTGTTAATTTAGATGTTTATTTTGTGAAAATTTATAGTTTCAGGGGTGCTTTCTCTCGTAAATTTTACGAGAAATCCAATGGGCCACTTTTAAGACCTCCATGTTTTGTATTTATGGAGTTACGAGATTTTAAATTTATTAAAATTTTGTTCGATTTATTCAATTGATTCGTTCCATTGGCGCCTCTCGGATTCTGGCGACGGCGCGGCGTGCGCCCAGGTTAAAAATAGGTAATCCGCCGGCAAATCATGGGTGGGAACAAGGGGATCGCTGCCGTGCTAAGGAAAAACAGCGTATGAACATCTCAACGCTGCCAAATTTACCGGGGATCCAGTGGATATTTTTTGTTGAACTTCTCAGAGTTTTATTTGCAGTTTTAATCGGAAACATCTAAAAATATCCACGAAAATTATCCGTAATTTGTGACCATCCACGGATTAAACGCTTCTCGTGTTTTCTCCACGCGAATTTTCCAGCAGTGTGTCGAAACATAAAAGATTACGCGTTTTTCACCCCCAATACCTAAGCGCCTATGCAATTTTCCCGTGGTTTTGTAGAACAGTTTAATCTGAATCTAAAAATTCTAAATCATCCGTAATTTGTGACCATTCACAGACAAAATCCTTCTCGTGTTTTTCCACGCGAATTTTCCAGCGGTTTTGTCGATACATACAAGATTACGCGTTTTTCACCCCCAATACCTCAGCATATATGCAATTTTCCAGCTGTTATGTAGAAACATAAGAAATAAAACGCGATTTTCATCTCGGTTTCGCGCCAATTCGCGATTTTTTAAGCGGTTTCAAAACATACAAAAGTATGAATGTCTCACGTAAATATCACAGCATTCATAAACGTCGGTAATTTGAAACAGGCGAAAAGCTAAGATTTTCCTTCATTTTCGCGTGATACTACATAACTGCTCCAAAGCTCGAATAGTTTCGCGCCTGGTGTCCGCTTTGACCAGTATTATTCATAAAACATTCCTAGGTAAATGTTCATGAAGATTCACATAATACGCGATTTTTCCAACAGTGTTTTAAAAAAGTCTGAATTAACGCATTTTTCACCTCAATGTCGGGGCGAATGCGTGATTTTTCCAACACGTTGGTCAAAAGCTCGCGCTGGAAAATAAAACTCCGGCCGTGGAAACCGTACTTACGGGCTATATAGACCTACGGTCCGCGTTCCGGGCTCAGAGGCCTTAAGTTCCGGGCGCAGAGGCCTTAAGTTCCGGGCGCAGAGGCCTTAAGTTCCGGGCGCAGAGGCCTTAAGTTCCGGGCGCAGAGGCCTGAAGTTCCGGGCGCAGAGGCCTTAAGTTCCGGGCGCAGAGGCCTCAAGTTCCGGGCGCAGAGGCCTTAAATTCCGGGCGCAGCACCCGGAGCAATGGAAGCTACGGCTCCAGCGCCCGGAACTTTCGATCTCTGAGCCCGTGGCGAACGGTCGCGACTGGCGATGCGCCACCGGAAAACCCGAATAGATTCGTCAAAAGGCGGACAGGCAGACGTGAAACCGGGCGCACGTGACGCGAGCTACCTGATGCAGCGACGTGCACGTCGCGCACGTGACGAGACGCCGCCGCCGCGAGGCTCCTTCTAGACGCCGACGGGGTCCCACCGTTGCACCCCCACAAAAATGATATTCGAGCACAGCCATGTTGCCACATTCCCCTTCTATAATATCTGTTCTAGAGACAATGTTGTTTTTCTGGCGTAGGGCGTAACTCGATTTCCGCATGGACCCCAATAAGCATCCTTTATGTGAAAAACATGGCTCATGTCGAAATTGAGAAATTCTAATATCATGAGGTGATTCTCCCGAACATTTTATGCAGGGTTCAGTGAATTTTTACCGTTTGTTTTACATGAAAACTTTTGGATTTCGGTGCAAATTTCAGTGCATTTTCTGCTTAGTATGAAGCAAGTTCCTTAAAATTTTCGAAGGACTCCGCACGAATCCTTTCTTGTAAAAAATTAAATTGCTCTGTTAAATTTGGCAGTAGCTGATGTGGCTTGGATCCTCTCTGCTCAGTGCGGTCCATTTTTCCTTGAAATTTTCAAATATCTTATTGTTAGCCTCCTTAAATTCCGTACAAAATTGTCTGAGACTTTTGGAAAATAATCCAATAACTTCGGTTTTTATCGGAGGAAACTTGGCAACGTCTGAAGACTCATACGGCGTTTTTCCTTAACACGGCATTTTCGGTTCTCTGCCCTCTCAGTGTACCTTATAGTCACATACCTTACACTGGAAAAAAAAAAAAAAAAAAAAAAAAAAAAAAAAAAACACATTGGATCTAGAGTCCAGACTCTTGAAAACATTGACAAGAAAA